TTTGTTTGACGGCCGCTGCTAGTCAATCTCTCTATCTAACTCTGTTCTGTTCCGCTCGTTTATTGACTCTGTTAACTCTACAGACCATTTTACTGTTTATGCCACAGTTGCTGTTATCCGTTCGTTGAGGCCATGTTCGCCAGGAACTGTTATTTGTTCTGTTCTGTTATTGACTCTGTTAACTCTACAGACCATATTGCTGTTTGGTGCACAATTGCTGTTATCCCATCGTTGAGACTTGCACCTTCTCTCTCTGTTCTTCCTCTGTCCGGTTTGCTAACTCGTTAACTCTACAGAACCTGTTGCTCTGCTAAAACGACTGCAGATCGTAACTCGTAATTAATAAATACATATATTATTTAAAATCCATAGGGATATTTAATCTGCAGGGGTATTTCCAACGAATTGAAGAATATCATTCGAAATTCGCAGCCAAAGTACAGCATTGTAAATCGTGATGTAAACATTATCAACTATAAATTTATTAATTCATACAATATGTATACAGATCTATATACCTATATATATATATATATATATATAATTTCTCTGTTTTTTTCGCATATTTATTTGCGTACTTTTTGCATGCGTCGTTCGTTCTACCAAAAAACTAAAACCAAACTCAACTCTTCATTTTACTGTGTCTGTGTGTGTGTACAAAATACTTTGTAAGAGACAATTTCATTATGTAATAGTAACTAAGTTCCAACACTAACAAGAAAACACGAAACAAAACCAAATTGCAAAGGGGTCACTCAGGAGGGGACACTTGATTTGATTCGCTTACAGACTTTACAGACCTATAGACGTATAGGATTGAAATGAACACTGACAGCTTCATAGATTATGGCTAAAATATAACGTTGACAAGATATCTGACAAAATTTTTAAATAAATAAACTTCTTAAAGTAGTCTTAATGTAAAATTTGGACAAACCTTGCTAGTGATATTAAAAACATAGGGGAGCATTAAGGATCAACTAACATCACACACACACACACACATACGCTCAAGCACATATACCAACCAACGTATACTCAAAATATACTCTGATAATGCCCTGATGTATATTCGACCCAAATCGGCTAATCGATTTCTCTACGTCTTGTAGGCGGTGCAGTGCTTATCGAGGGTGTCCTCTTCAGGGCCAAGTACTTAGGCTCCACGCAGCTGGTCTGCGAGGGTCAGCCCACAAAGTCGACGCGCATGATGCAGGCCGAGGAGGCCGTTTCCCGTATCAAGGTAAGTTTCCAAACAACCATCCACCCAATCCACCTACAAATCTCTTTTGATTGCTCTTCTCCATTTGGTGTTTCATTAAAAAAAAATGTTTTGTTATTACATTTAACTACCAAAGTGGCCAAAGTTGGTTTAAGACTCGTTATCAGGACTTTTGTTTGAATCGTATCGATGTCAATAATTTTCCCAAATTTCAATATAATAACGAGTTATTCTTTCCATTTTTATTGCCAAATGTTCATAAATATCAATCGATAAAATGTTCTATTAGTTATCGTTCATTCATGCCCAACGACTGGATAGACTCTCTGGCCCGATGCTCTCCACCTCCACCCCATGGCCTACTGCATTTTGTGCTAAATTTTTTCAGCTACTTTTGATGTCCAAATGATTCTGTTTTTTTTTTTTTTTTGACACCAACCTCCACCGCACCTCCCACCATAACCAGTGCTCTTTCGCCCAAAAACCATTTCCTAGAAAAGAAAAAATCCAGAGAGGGAAAAAGAAGCGCATTAACTCTTTACTATCTATAAATATATATTTTCATGCATAACCACCTCCTCCACATCAACTGCTCCACATCCGCGACGATCAACCACCACGCTAAACCAATCCACGTATCGCCATGCAAACCAATAAAAACAAAATGAAAAAAAATTAACAACAAAATAACAATTAAATAAAAAATTCAAATACAACCAATTCGCATAATCCTCCAATAGGCGCTGGTAAGTACCTGAAAACACTAGAAGACAGACACAAAAAGCTGAACGCCTCTGCAGTGTGACCGAATACTATTTAATACTCGGTCACACCGTCGTCACACCTATTCCCACAGCCTGACCAACCCCCTTTGAACCAAGTGATCTGTTTTGCCTGATTTGCCTTTAATTGAATTGAAGACATTTCCCGCTGTACAATTTTTCGATTCCCGAAAGCGAAGCTTGCCCACCACGAACCACCAACCAACCAATAGCTAAAAGTCCTGCAAACAAACCCACACACGAGTCCCGTCCTTTATCTCCATTTACGAGTTGCAATCACAAAACAATGATAAACTAATTCGAACGATAAACCACTTTTAGGCACCCGATGGCGATGTTCAGCCCAGCACCGAAGTGGATCCTTTTATATCAACGGAAAAGATAATGGTGCTGAACACGGACTTGAAGGAGATCATGATGGATCATGCTCTGCGCACAATCTCCTATATAGCGGACATTGGGGATCTGGTGGTTCTTATGGCTCGACGGCGCTTTGTTCCGCAGGACATCGACGATGCACCCAAGCCGAATCGTACGCCCAAGATGATCTGTCATGTGTTTAAGAGCGGCGAGGCGCAGTTCATTGCCCAGTCCATTGGGCAGGCCTTCCAGGTGGCCTACATGGAGTTCCTCAAGGCCAACGGCATCGAAGACCATCGGTTCGTCAAGGAGATTTACTATCAGGAGGTGCTCAATAGCCAGGAGATCTTTGGCGACGAGCTCGAGATCTTTGCCAAAAAGGAGCTGCAAAAGGAGGTCGTTGTACCCAAGGCCAAAGGCGAGATACTCGGTGTGGTCATTGTCGAGAGCGGTTGGGGCTCCATGCTGCCCACCGTCGTCATTGCCAATCTGATGAGCTCCGGTGCGGCTGCCCGCTGTGGCCAATTGAATATCGGTGATCAGCTTATCGCCATCAACGGACTGAGCCTTGTGGGTCTGCCGCTCTCCACCTGCCAGACGTACATCAAGAACACCAAAAACCAGACCGTAGTCAAGTTCACAGTGGTGCCCTGCGCCCCCGTTGTTGAAGTGAAGATCAAGAGGCCAGAGACCAAATATCAGCTGGGTTGGGTTTCAGTGTTCAGAATGGTGTGGTAAGTAAACGATCAGAATTCATCTCTCAAAGAAATGCCAGCACATCCAATACCTATATTTGTTGTATGCTCTAAATAGATCTGCAGTCTCCTGAGGGGCGGCATAGCCGAGCGAGGGGGCGTTCGTGTTGGCCATCGCATCATTGAGATTAACAACCAGAGCGTGGTGGCAGTGCCCCACGAGAAAATCGTTAACTTGCTAGCCACTTCAGTGGGGGAGGTGAGTTTCAACTTATTATTTAAAATTCTTGAAATACTGATTCAAATTCGACTTCGATTCCCACTTGCAGATACTCATGAAGACGATGCCCACGTCCATGTTCCGCCTGCTCACTGGCCAGGAGAACCCCATATATATTTAAGTCCTGGGAAAAAGGGAAACTGGATGGTGGATGATATTGTTAACTATGAACCATATGAAAGATATTATATGATATATATAGAAGATGTGTGTGTATGCTTGCATACAGAGTGTACGTACCTTGATGTGTACGTATATGCGTGTATAGGCTTAGGAAGATATGATTTAGCTTACCTACATATATCTACAGAAGGTGGCCTAGCTGAGGCCACCGGACGGGTCGCAGGTTGTGGATAGCGAACAGCCTACCTTGTTTAGGTAGGTCGCTGTGAATAAGCGGAAATAAACAGCAACGGACAGCCAGCGGGGGTTCGCGAAGTAGCAACACTGACGATGCGCTTGTGGTGCCGCCTCGTTTAAGTAGCTCACACGCTCCCCCTTCCCCACACAACACCTATCCTCATCCTCACCCACCCACCTCAAACCAGGCCGGACTAAGGTGTCATTCGACACCTGGGGGCCCGGTATAAAAACTAGCCCAGTCGTGTACGGAGAGCTCAGGGAAATGGCAGCCCCCTGTTCTAATGATGCCTTACCTGGGCAACGTGGATCTCTGCCCGGACTGACAGTTCCCCTTCTGTGCATCTCGTGGGATCAGAATGTATAAAAATAATAATAATAATAAAGATAAAAAAAAAAAAAAAATAAAAAAACAAATGAGAGAGACACTCCCCAAACGTCTGAAGGGAGCAATCCCAAGCAGGGAAAGGCAGAGGCCCAAAGGCCTGGCCTAACCCGCTCGATAGCAGGAAAGTCCTGCTCGGCTGAAAGCGAGGGTGCGAGCCCGCCTGGGGTGGGTGGCACAGCACCCCCCAATACCGAAGCCTTGGGAAGGCAGCTAAGCAACATTGCGGCTGCCCGACCTTCTGGCAAAGTAGAGGGGGAGGTTGGGCCATCGACCAGCGCCGAAGCTAAACTGTTCACATACGCCGAAATACTCCGTCGGCAGTACGCGAGCACAGAAACCAGCCCCTCACAGGACTGGCTGAAGAAAGTAAAGTGGGCCTCGGAAGTGCTTCCGAACTTTACTCTGGAACCGCATAAACCGCCCCAGCAACCAAATAGGCAGCGCTCGCAAGAGACGCCTGGACCAGCTGCAAAGTGATCCAGGATACTGCCAAATGTGTCCTTCGCGCAGATTGCGAAGGAGAGGACGCTGATTGGCGTCATCGACAAAGGCAGCGCGGACGGAAGAATCCCGAGGAATCAGTGGAAGTGGGTGGAAACGGCACTGGCTGACCGCTGCTTCGAGCTCCTGGACAAAGACCCCGGCCCACCTCCAGTCTGCAAAGCAATGGGATGGTTCCAGGGTAACACAAAAATTATAGCCTGCGAAGATGAGCGCTCCGTGCAGCTATATAAAGCAGCGGTAGCGCAAGTAGGCGAAGTTTATCCAGGCGCTAAACTAGCAGCAGTCGACTGGAGCGAAGTGCCCAGCAGACCGAGGGCGAGAATTTGGGTGGCGGCCTCCATAAGAGAGCCAGAACGCATCCTGCTCATGTTGCAGCGATGCAACCCAAACCTTCCAACAGCGGACTGGAAGGTGGTCAAAGTTGAAGCGACGCAGGGCCCCACAAACCAAGCCGTGGTGGTGTTAAATAAAGAGTCGCTGGCCCCGATGGAGGCAGCCAAAAATGAGCTCAACTTTGGGTTCAGCTCTGTCACTGTAAAGGTGTACAAGTCGGATGCAGCGGCCGGGGTACGTCCTGTCGACAACCCAGTCAAGCAGGATGTTGCCTCGGAGATCGAGGCACCCGACAACGAGCTGGATGGAGTTGGCCCAAGAATGTGACTCCCTAGAGTCGGAGCTGATGCTGGAGTTCGAGGCAATGTGCCGGAACGAAAGCTCCGGCGAGACGGACGCCGACAATACAGTGGTGGAGATAGGAAAGGATCCCTCTGAGGCTCCTTCAGATAAATCTCCAGCTCTTAAATCTCTTTAAAGCAGCAACTGCTGCCATCTTACTCCGTTTGGAATCGAGCGCTAGAAAGCACGTAAACATCTTTCTGCTCCAAAATTTTAGCGATGGCGACAACACAGCAGCTAGCCTAGAGCTGCAAGGGACACACCCCAGAGTGGTGTCGTCCTATATGGCTCACGACCAATGTGACCCTCCCAGCGACCTCGTCCGCAAGATAACCAGCGACAGCGAGAGGTCAAACACAGGCCTACTGATAGGTTGCGATGCCAACGCCCACCATACCCAATGGGGAAGCTCGGACATAAATGTAAGTCACTTTTCAGCTTTATAGTAAACTCGAATCTGGTTCTCTGTAATCGGGGGAATGACCCCACCTTCATTATAAAGAACCGACAGGAGGTCATAGACCTAACCCTAGTGTCCCATAGCATACTAGGCCTTATCAAGGGCTGGAGAGTCCTAGAAGAGCACTCCTTCTCCGACCTTAGGTATATAGAGACGATAATATCTCTCGAATGCCCAATAGCTGATAGTTATATAAACCCCAGGAAAGCCAACCTGGAGGCATATTCTAAAACCCTGGAAGAACTTCTTCCCCCAACAGCATCAACATGCCCTGAAACACAAGATGACCTTAACAGTCTTGTAAATAGATTCACGGAGGCATGTCATAAAGCCTTTAAGGCTGCGTGTTCCCCCATTTAGCGATGGCGACAACACAGCAGCTAGCCTAGAGCTGCAAGGGACACACCCCAGAGTGGTGTCGTCCTATATGGCTCACGACCAATGTGACCCTCCCAGCGACCTCGTCCGCAAGATAACCAGCGACAGCGAGAGGTCAAACACAGGCCTACTGAAAGGTTTCGATGCCAACGCCCATCATACCCAATGGGGAAGCTCGGACATAAATGTAAGGGGTGAGTCACTTTTCAGCTTTATCCTAAACTCGAATCTGGTTCTCTGTAATCGGGGGAATGACCCCACCTTCATTATAAAGAACCGACAGGAGGTCATAGACCTAACCCTAGTGTCCCATAGCATACTAGGCCTTATCAAGGGCTGGAGAGTCCTAGAAGAGCACTCCTTCTCCGACCTTAGGTATATAGAGACGATAATATCTCTCGAATGCCCAATAGCTGATAGTTATATAAACCCTAGGAAAGCCAACCTGGAGGCATATTCTAAAACCCTGGAAGAACTTCTTCCCCCAACAGCATCAACATGCCCTGAAACACAAGATGACCTTAACAGTCTTGTAAATAGATTCACGGAGGCATGTAATAAAGCCTTTAAGGCCGCGTGTCCCCCCATTAAACCTAGAGGGAAAAAGAAACCCCCCTGGTGGTCGAAGACCATTTAAGTCCTACGTAAAAGCTGCAGAGAAAATTTGAATAGAGCAAAAAATAGCAACGAGAACGATCTATGGGCAGACTACAAGACCAGCCTTGCCCTTTACAAAAAAGAAACTAGGAGAGCGAAAAGAGCCTCCTGGCAAAAGTTCTGTACCGAAATCGAAGAAACGGCACCCACTTTCCAGGGTGTACAACCATCGAACCACCGGAACGCCCCGATGAAGGCCCAGCCCCATCGATGGCGCACCTACTCACAAAACGGAACATTTAATGGGCGGTGAACAGCTTCAAACCGTTCAAATCGCCAGGTCCAGACAAGGTGATCCCAGCTCAACTTCAGAGAGCTGGGGACCAACCTTCAAAAAGATCCTAAAGGTAGGAAAGTTTCCTAAAGCATGACTCAAGGCAGAAATTGTCTTCATCCCAGCGGGAAAAGCCTCCTACTCGACGGCAAAGGACTTCAGACCGATTAGTCTGACCTCCTTTCTCCTAAAAACATTTGAAAGGATATTCGGTCTACATCTGAGGACAATCATCAACCCTCAGATGCTGGCAGAATCACAACACGCATACCGGAAAGGTAAATCCACAGAAACGGCCCTACATGAAGTGATTTAAGGTATAGAGAAAGCTCTACACCTTAGGGAATACTCCCTAGCAGCCTTCCTTGATATTGAGGGAGCCTTCAACAACGTCGAGCCAGGATCCATTACGGCGGCCATGACTAACCCTTGGGTGGACTGCCACTTGGTGATGCTCATCGATCAATTGCTCACATGCAGGACGGTGACATCATCAATGGGTTCGTCCACTCAGACAAGGTATGTAAACATTGCAGTCAATAAGATTCTATGTGACTTGGAGGGGGGTGGTTGCAAAGTAGTGGCATATGCAGACGACGTTGTCGTAATGTTCACGGGAAAATTCCCCCAAACACTCTGTGATCTTATGACCACAAAACTTGCTCGATTGTCAGAATGGACAAGATCGTGCGGATTAGGTTTAATGCCTCGAAAACGGAACTTGCACTATTCACTAACAAGTACAAAACTCCGCCACTCAACACCCCAACACTAAACAAATGTAGGTTAACCTTTAACTCAGTGCCAGTTACCTTGGGTTGGTAATAGACAGGAAGTTAAATTGGAACCTAAACACGAAAGAAAGCGTGAAGAAGGCCACTATGGCCCCATACACCTGCAAAAAAGCTAAAATGGGGCATGAACCCACGTGTAGTCCAATGGATATACCAAGCTGTTGCCAAACCAATACTGCTCTATGGAGTCACAGCATGGTGGCCAACTCTGTCAAAAAAGACAATCACCGCTCAACTGGCAAAGGCCCCACGAACGGCCACTTTGCATCAGTGGCGCTCTCCGCACCACACCAAATGATGCACTAAATGCCATCCTTTGCCAGCAGGGCATAGACCTTGCAGGGAAGGAACAGGAAGCAAGGGCAGCAGTACGTCTGCGAGATTCGGACCTATGGACGTCACGACCATATGGTCACTCAGCGATCTTTAGGGACACTAATATAATCCCTCATAAGACTGATTATTGCGTTCCCAGAGAGTACACAGCCACCCCCTTCGAGGCTATAAACCCCCCCCAGAGAGGAATGGCTCGAGGGCACACCTGGCCCAACGGGGGCCATCAACATCTTTACTGAAGGATCCAAGCTAGACAACAAAATTGGCGGAGGAATCTACTCCAGGCAACTAAATATGAGACATTCCTTTCGCCTTCCAGACCACTGCAGTGTCTTCCAAGCGGAAGTCATTGCTATAAACGAAGCGCTAAGATGCCTTCAAGAGATCTCGGTCGCGGCTACTCACCTAAACATCTATTTCGTCGAATTCGACTACAGTGGCAAATTGACGCAAATCTCTACACGAGATGGCAAGGCAATATGTTATT